ACACACACACACACACACACACACACACACACACACACACACACACACACTTTCCTGTGGCTCTATATAAGAACCATAAGCAGATATTCTGCTTTTGAAAAAAATATTTTTTTTTGTGTGTGTGTATAAAAGCAACTTGATCAGCTCAGAAATTAAAGGACATGGGCATAAAGTGGGAAGTATACAGAAAAAGGGACGGTTTTAAACCAGATTCCAGGGTGCCATACCTATGTGGCTGACGTCAGCTTTCTTTATCCAGGAAGGCTGAATAGTCTCCAGAAAGAGCAGGGCTACTTTTCTGCTTTTTTGTTTTTGTTTTGTTTTGTTTAAGATGAAGCACAGAACTTTCTCAGCTTGTTACTTATTTCAGTAAAGGTTTGTAACAACACTGACACTGAGTGTTCTACCGAGAAGCCCAGGAAAAGCTGGTTAACTGGTGAAGTCTAAATGAAGAGCCTACTTCTCCACTTACCGTGAGAAACCAGGTAAGACAAGAGCTCTGTTGTGATATTTTCAGTAAATGTGAAAGTTTTCTGATAGAAATCACTTAAAACTTGGAGTGGTGGTTTGTACTTGTAATTCCAGAATTCTCAGAGAGACCAAAGACAGGCAGATCAAGAGTTTAAGGCTAGCCAGTTCTATTTAGTGAGACATCACCTTTTATTATTATCATTAATTTTTTCATTTATTTTACACACCGACCAGCTTCCGTCCCGCCTCTCTTCTTGTTCCTCCACTCCATCCCTACTTTCAGCCTCTCATCCCATCTACCCACGTCCCAATTCACTTTTTTATTTCTCTTCTGAAAGGGGCAGGCCTCCCATGAGCATCAACACAGCAGGCACAGCAACTTGAGGCAGGACCAGGCTCCTCCCCTGCATCAAGGCTCGGTAAGGCAACCATCATGGTGGACAGGTTCCCAAAAGCCAGTTAAGCTCCAGGGACAGATCCTGATCCCACTGCTGGGGGCTCCACAGACAGGTCAAGTTACACAACTGTCACACACATGCAGAGGGCTTACGTGGGTCCCATGCAGGCTCTCTAGCTGGCAAGACACCATTTTAAGGAAAAAAAGTTTGAAAATAGTTGAGACAAAGTCGTTTAAGTAAAAAAAAAAATCAGGTAACTAAAGCAAGGAGATAAACTAAGTTGGACAGATGGGTACTCCCTCTGCTAAATAAGTTAATCATCTCAAGAACACATCTAAAATCTCTCACCAGCCATTCCAAAGGTGGAAGAAACACATGCCAGGAAGCCCTCCTGAGGATAAGAAGGCTCCTACATCTGTCCAGTGCACAGAACACTTGTTTATATAATCAAGACTTCCAAGAGGAGACCTTTTTAAAAAACATACCCAGAAAATACTTCAAATAGAACAGGCCACTTATTTTTTGTGTGTGTTTTGATATATTTGGACAAGTCAAATTAAGAGACTTTTCTTGTAAAATATACATACTTGTAAGATGCTTGAATGACCCTCCTGCATGTTCACTCAGTTCCCTTAAGAGTTCCACTCTTGTTTTGGAAATATCAGCCTTATGTTCTGAGAGGCAGGGCTGGGATATCCACAGCGCATCAGTTCTGCAACTCCTGCTCAGTCTCCCTGCGCACAGAGGGAGGTCTGACAGGTAGACCTGGGCTGGCTCCTGTGTCTATCAGCAAAGGTGGAGTGAGCCATTACCCTGATCATGGGCTGTGCACTCTCCTCTGTGCACAGTGCCCTCAGCTCACGAGGTGGACACAGATTGAGCCCCAAGATCACGAGTGTATGCCAGCTTCCCACAGTGTATTTGTCATCTGGTTTTACTACTGTTCTTAAATAGTTTCACATGCATGTAAGTCCCGGTCTCTGGCCTCCATCTTTGGAGGCCCTGTTCCTGTGCCTGCCAAAGCTTGACCCCCACCCCCAGTCTATTTAAACTGCTCCCCTCTCGGGTGGTCGGTGGTTGTCTTTGCGGATTTCTGGTTTCCCTCAGGGCCACCCAAGAGCGCAGAAATCCTGTTAAACCTGGACCTCCTTTAATTTGGCTTGTTGTCATTTGGCTTGATTGGGATTTTTGTGTTGGTAGAGAGCTCACGTTAGGAAAAATTTATAACAATGCTTATCTCAATCAGATTCTAAAGTATATGAAAATGCTTTTGACATCTTTCTGTTAGTTTCATCTTTACTTTTTAGGCTATAGAAAAAACCAAACAATACCAAAAAACTTAAAATACTGGCACTTTTATTGATGTGGTATATAAATTTCAGTAACAAAATTTTCTTATGAACATAGCTGAAATACTGTCATGATTGGCAATTTGATATGATATTGTAAAATTTGCTACATTTCACGATTTTCACAAGAAAAATCTGAGTCTGGTTTGTCCAAACTCATGAACTCTCACTTTCTGCGTGACATACTTTTTATTCTTATTTTTCTGAACAGATTCTGAGAGAGTTGTGAAGAGCACAGTGTGATGAATCCCCTTATCCCTGCAGAAGGCAGTGGGTTGGCTTGATTCTTCTAACTCTCTTGGGAACGATTATCTTCAATGATGATAGATCTCATAGGAGTCACTGTCACATATACGTATCGAAATTCAAATTGGCCACTCTGTGGGTTCTGAAAAACACGCAGAAGTTATTACCTTTCCCAGAGCTTTGGCAGCACTACGCTCAGAGCCACGTACCCACGTACCCACATACAGTGGCCCCGTGACCCGAAAAGGGCGGGCGTACCTCTTCCACTTCTGCATGCACGGTTCCTTGCCTCCCTGGTTCAGAGCCCTCAATGTAGAATTTCACACGGATGCGCTTTAGCCCATTTTTTACATATTCAACAAAACTGTCAAGAAAACATAAAGATGCCATCCAAGTTCCTTTTATTTAAAGTTTATCCTAGAGTTCTCCCAGGGACACTGTATTACCTGACATGCTGTCTCCGCCCACGTCTTGACATTTCCCCATAGCCTTTCAGAGGCTCGCCAAACACGCTAATCACCTGCAGAACAGAGACCATGCTTCCTTAGCGTGACTCTTTTCATGGCTCCTATATAATAACTAGTTTCTGAAAATCAAGTGATGCATTGTTTGCACATTCCCAGTGATTTTACGGAGAAAAAAAATCAGCATGGTGAAGCCCCTTTACAAAAATGGTGATTCAAACAAGAAAGCTAGAAGTAAAAGGACATTATGTAAAAATTATAGTGTAAATAAGGAAATAACTCAAGCACAGGGACAGAAATGGGTCACTCTGCTGTAGCTTGAGAATGATACAGGCTGAGGTGAACCTGTCCCCTCTCCTTACAAGAAACAAAATAAACCAAAGTATTGAGATATTTCTCTATAACACTCACTTTGGAAGACAAAATGGACAGGCATTTGAAATGAAATTATTTGGTGTCAAGTATTAAAGGCTGTGAGGTAAAAATAAATTTTAAAGCCTTAAGCACAGTGAGGAAAAAATATCAATAATGTCGCTGCTAGAGTAAACATGCAAATCTTTTCTTCCTAATGAGAAAATTCACTTGATGTAGAAAGTTTTCATTTAATTTTCAAAGCAAATACAACACAAATAGAATATCAGATGATATTGCTGAGTGTCCCTTTTACTGCAAGCATACATGAAAAGGAAGGTATAAGTACCAGATACCTAAAACCTCTGTAGCACGAATAATAAAAACCAGACATAGATATTGGGGTTCAAGCAGAAGACCAGAAATAAGAAACTACTAGAGAGGCCTTTTAACTCTCCCAAATATTCAGAATGAATGGGCAAGATCCTGTCTCCACGAATCCTCAGACTCCACTTAGAACTCCAGTGAGTTCCTGCCTCTTCCCGTTTATCTTCTTCTCTCCACCCAGCCATATTGCTGTCTCCACCTCCATAGTGCTGGGATTAAAGGTGTGTGCCACCACTACCTGGCCTCTAGTAGCTTAGCTTTGCATTATGATCTTCAGGCAAGCTTTATTTATTACAATACAAATAAAATTACCAGCAAATTTCCCCTTTTTTGTTTAAAATAAAAAGGCTATAACTAATATAAAAACTATACATAATAAATAAAATAACCATATACACATATACAGGTAATAAGTACAGCAACAATGTCTAGTCCATTAGCATTTGACAAATTCAGTGAAATTACTTCATATCTATCCTATCTTGGTGAGTCCAAAGTCTTGTACCTAATTTACTTTCTATCATAAAACTTGCTTTCTGCATCTGGTAAACATAGAAAACTATAAAGATCTCTTCTTCAACTCCCTCAGACATCCAAGAAAGAAATATTATCTGTGTAAGCAGGAAGTGCAAGCAAGCAACTTCCAAAAAATGTGAGAAATGACAAAAACAGCTGGCTGCCTGTACAGTCACTGATAATTCCTCTACAATGTTGTGGCATCCATTTTCACCCTGCAGGCCTAGTATATAGAAGACTTTTCTGAAGGGCTGTCCTTCCTTGTCTTGACGATATTTGGCAGTCAATTTTTTTTTGTCTTGCTTGTCCAATTACAATAGCATACTGTCAGCAGTCAAGGCAAGGGCATTTTCTTGCCCAGTGGCTTACTTTTGCCACAAAGAAAATAAACTCCTTGTGGAGTTTCTTCAATGCCCATCATCTTCTCTGAAGTAGATTGGTGCTGCCAGCAGATGTCTCATTGTCAAAAAAGATAGAGTCTGATACTAAAATATACTAAATGCCATATTCTATAGATCTCTGAAGTGTTTGAAGATGACCTATTTAGACATATTTATATATCTATTTGACCTGAAAACACACCTACTGTGAGTATAAGTTGGACTGTAATAGGTGATTAACTACTAACCTGCATTTCCTTATTACCCTAAACAGTTGGTAATAGTAACTTTCAAGAACTAGAAATATGCATTACATGGTTAAATAAGTTGTATAGGTATAATACCTTGAACAAGACTAAAACATGTATGTATGTTTCAACAAAATTAATCCCAAATTTGTATACCATATACAAAAGTCTAATCTAAGGTAAAAAATTTAAAACTAGTAGTTGCTTTTAAAAAGTATAGATTCAATAATCTACCTTTTAACTTATCATATCTATATTCTTGCTTTTTTCTTTTCAGAGTAGATTCAATAATCTACCATTTTATCCTATCATATCTGTATCCCCCTTTTTCTTTACAAATCAAGAATCTTGAATCTTATCTTCTTTGCTTTGATCTTTTCCTGACCATGACCAGTAACAACTTGTAATCAATTGCCTTAAATAATGACAAATATCCATAACCCAATGAAAAACCAAAAGCCATCCACCCCTTTTCTTGGGAATGTGGGCATCATGTTCTTAAATTTACTTCCTGCTTTCTGGGGGCAACGGTATCTTTAGGGGTTCCTGAAAAGAAAAATATAGACTAACTGTCAAGTTCTGGGAGAAGTAGCTGTATCATTTGTTGTCCATTCTGTGTAATGGGAAAATTCAAGGCTTGTCTTGGTCCTGCCTAGAGTAGTCTGTAAGACTGGATCATCTCAGCGAGCTACCTAGAAACTGTTCTGAGCATGTCACACTCCAAAGCTGATCTTTAGGTGGTGTTTTCAGTTAAGTGATGTTATCATAGTCCTGGAGGAGTTGTAGTTGTGGGGCCCCATCTTTCTTCTGGAGACTTCAAAGGCTGCTGTTAGGTGTGCTCATGGTTCACTGCAGCAAAATGATAGAAACTCAAACCCAAAACCATGTACAGGAAGGTAGAGGAAACCTTTCCCTAGAATTAGTACTCTATATGATCATTAATATCATGACAAAAAGTTATAATTTTATAAAATTTATACCTTAAGAAAAGCTGTTAAAGAGTCAATATAAAACCAAAGGATTGTGAGATTAGTGGCAATAAAGTAGTCCTTAAGTATTTGTTTTTCTTTGTCCCATATC